CCCGCCCCTGCCCTGGCAAACTGGCAACTCTCACTAGTGACTGGGGCAGGGGGGACTGAGTCTCCACTGCTGTGTATGTTCCCTCCCTGCTACTTTTCCTGAGGCCTTGGGGGAAATTAAACTAGGCCCACATGGCAGGGGGGCTTCCCTCCCCCTACACAAGCATCTTGACAGTGACATAGGCTGCCATGCCCGGAGCTGGGGCACGGGTGGAAACAGAGCACCCCCACCTCGTGGGCCTGGTCTGGTTGCCCCCAAGACCCTAGCAGGAATAGCTGAGGGAGGGCAAGCATGGGAGGGGCTTCTTTCCCTCACCCATCTCCCCATGCTGTGTGAGAAGAAGAAAGAGGCTTTCTGTCTTCTTTCTGTCACAGCCACAGGGGCAGGGCTGGGATCATGTTCACCAGCCCACAAACCCACATGGGATGCAGGCAGAATTGCCCCAAATTAATCTTAGAGCCAGGTTAACCAGGGGGCCTTAGAGCACCCCATCTGATATTTCATCAGGCAAAGGTTACATTTTTGCAGGATCAGCTATGTTAAAAGCACTCTGCAACTGTGCACGTTTGTTATGTTACGGTTGCAAACGCCCAAAGTGGAGACTTAAGTTTTGATCCCATTCAGAAGGGAAACACAAGGGAAGCACAGCTATGCAAATAGAAATAGAAACTAAAATTTGAATTAATTTGGCACTTATGGAGCTAAGCAAGTGGTATTAAGCACAGAAAGGTGAAAGAGAATATGGCTCTAAATCAAATATGACTCCACCCTCACGGTACAGCCCTTTTCCCATATATCCCAGATTCAAATTAAGAAATTAAGTGTATTGCAGTTTTAATGTATATGTTTTGCTCTAGATTTCTTGCAGTCCTTGAGCAGTGCAGAAGGGATGGGAAAATACAGGGAAAACCTTTTGCTTCAAATCCAAACTCACGTATCTAAAATGTATACATCAGAATGATTTTTTATTTCTGGAAAGTTTCCATTAGCTGAAAAAAATGGAGTTTTGATGGCCCTGAAACTATTCAAAGAGTTTGCTAAAGAGTTCCAGCTGAGAGAAAAATATATGGAGGCACAGCAGTATTCACATTTGCCAAATATGTCAGTGGTTAGAGCATTCATCTAGGATACAAGGCATCCAAATTTAATTCCCTTCTACACCAAAGGGGATTTAGAACCCGTATACCCTGGGAGTGTCCCCTTAGTCTCAGACTACAGTGTATGCTAGGGTAGTAAAAGTTCTACATCTTTCCTGTGATACTGTTCCACTTTATATTAAAAGAAAACATCACTTTCCCTTAAGGAGGGACTGAAAACTAGGTCCTACCTCCCAAGCAAGAATCCTAACTACCGGCCTTATTCTGACTCATTAATTATTTTATACAAAGTGGAACAGTGTAAACAGAAGGACTTAAAGGAGACCCACTTTATTTCCTGAAAGTGAATTAAGACTCTTACCCAAGTTGTGGGCATGAATGACGCATGCCCTCAGCAGCTAGGGGTGCATGGCAGCAGTTTCATAGTTTGGTAGTGTCATAGTTAGTAGGGTCAGAAGGGACCTGAGCAGATCATCAAGTCCAACCCCCTGCCATGGCAGGAAAGAGTACTGGGGTCAAATGACCCCAGCAAGGTGTACATCTAGCCTCCTCGTAAAGAAGACCCCCAGGGTAGGAACCAGCACCACTTTGCTTCGAAGTTGGTTCCAGATCCTAGCTGCCCTGACAGCGAAGTAGCGCCTCCTGATATCTAGCCTAAATCTACCCTCTGTCAGCTTGTGACCGTTATTCCTAGTCACTCCTGCTAGTGCCTGGGGGAACAGGGACTCCCCCAGTGCCTGCCAGTCCCCTCTGACTAGTTTGTAACAGGCCACTAGATCCCCCCTCAGCCTTCTCTTGTGGTTCAGGTCCTGTAGCCTCTCCTAGTAGGGCCTGCACTGCTGTCCCCTGATCATGCGAGTGGCCCTCCTCTGGACCCTCTCCATGTTGTCCACATCCCTTTTGAAGTGCGGCGCCCAGAACTGGACACAGTACTCTAGCTGCAGCCTGACCAGTGCCGCACAGAGAGGGAGGATCACCTCCTTGGACCTGCTTGAGATGCATCTGTGGATGCATGACAAGGTGTGGTTGGACTTCCTGACTGTGTGGGAGCACACAGCAGTAAACAGTGAGCTCCCGCAGATGCTGCTGGCGCTGTCAGTGGTGGGGTGAGGAGGGCAGGGTGACAAGTGCCAACCAGAGGTTGGCGACCACCCGCAGACACCGCCAGCAGTGTCGGTGACGGTGGGGGTGGTGGTGAGTGGCAACCACCTGTAGGCACCGCTGACAGTATTGGCAGCACCTTTTCACATAGAGGGTGCACCACCACACTCAGGGGGTGCACATGCATCCATATGCACCCCCTCCCTACACATCACCAGTGATTGTGGGAAATCTTGATTCAAATCCCTGCCCTGAATCAGAAAGAGATTAAATCTGAGATATTTTTAGTCTGGTGATAGGATGCTTACTGAAAGGACAGGAGTCCTGATTTCTAGTCCATGTCCAATGGCAGTGGGACCCAACCTTTTAGGTAGATGCACCACTAAGCCTGGACACTTCCCAAGTGCCACTCCAATCTTCTCACCTTTCCCGATTTGCTACTCTGCTTTCTGCTCCCTGCCCTATCTGCTGCTGTGCTCCCTTCTCTTTCTGCCATATGCCTCACACAGGGGCCAGCATGAATGCCACAGGTTGGCCACTTCTGTCCTGGGGAATATTTATTTACACAAAGTGAAACATTGTCAGTGGGAAAGATTTAGAATTTTCCCTGCCCCAGAATAACCTACCACACAGGTTAAGTACAGACATTCAAAAAGCCCGTGCTTGAATTGATTCAATCTTTTCAGGTTAGTCTAATCTGCATAGATTGAACTGATTTGCAAGTGAATAGACATTCACTTTTGATTCTGGAAATGCAGCCACATGCTTGCAGTGGCTCAGGCTAGAAGCCAGGGGGTGCTAGAGCAGGGAAGGCAATTATTTTGGCTGGAGGGCCGCTTAACAAGTTTTGGTGAGCTGCTGAGGCCCGCAACGGTAGGTCCTCCCCTTGACAGGTGCCCCGGTCAGTTGCCATCTTGGGTTTGGAAATCCTGGTGCCCTAACCCTCAACCTTTGCCACCAGAAGTCCCTCCTTTGCCCCCGGAAGTACTTCTTCTGGGAAGAGGGGTTTACCATCTTTGAAGCAGAAAAAAACCAAATCATATACTAAAAATCAAACATCTGCTATAATATATTTTATTTCCAAGAGTATTTTTGCCCTTATTTGTGTGGGTTTGAAAAGTGTATATAGAGGTGATTGCATAATAGCTCATAATAAAGGCTTACTCTTGTATATTGTGTGTAGGGTGTGGTTGGGCTGGAAGTATGTGTGGTGAACTTTGGCAAAGGTGTGGGGGAGGGTATGAGTGGGTGTGGTGTTTGTGGGGGGTCTGTGCTTAGAAATGAATTTTAACTTT